ATTGTTAGGGAAGGCTTCTCTCTGATAGAGGATTTTTTACAGATATGCGAGTGAATTGGGAGAGAGAGCTTGAGAATATTAAGGGGGGCGGGCGAAGCAAGTACAAACATTCTGAGGTCTTTGAAATGTTCAAGAACACTATAAGGAGGTCAGTGTGGCTGAAGGCAAGTAAGCAGAGGTGGTGGGGAGAATGGTAAGAGATTGGAGAGTAGCAGGGCCAGATCATGTAGGGCCTTGTAAAGCAATGCAACTCAAAATATGGTCCAAAGCAAGGCCAGCCTGCAATTGTTTATTACTGCACTATGCGAGACAAGTAAAAAAGTCAAGAATAAGTATTATAAAACTTTATAAAATTTCACACTGCATATTTTATCATAGAAATATGATAAAAATATTTCTATCATATTTTACAAAAGTATCATCTGCAATGGATTGGAACTTTAAAACAAAAACTTGGTCTCCTTGGAACTTTAAAACAAAGAGAGTTTGAGAAACACTTAGATATGGAGCCATCTCTCTCCTCTGACTTTAGAGGGCAAGTTTTCAGTCTTTCACTATTGAGTATGTTATGTTCACTGGTTGGTTGGTTTTTAATTGATTTTTAGAGAGAGGTAGGGAGAGAGAGAGGAAGGGAGAGAGAGAGAGAGGAAAAAAAAAGATATGTTGATGTGGAGAGAGAGAGAGAGAGAGAGAGAAAAGATATGTTGATGTAAGAGTGAAACATCAATTGGCTGACTCCTGCATAACCCTTACCAGGGATCAAGCCCACAACCTGGGCAAGTGCCCTGACTGAAAATCAAAACAGGGCAAGCTTTCGGTACATGGGACAACACCCAACCAACTGAGCCACATCAGGCGGGGTATGTTCATTGGCTTTTGTTGTTATTGTTTTTGTTAATCCTCACTTGAGGATATTTTCCCATTGGTTTTTAGAGAGAGTGAAAGGGAGGGGGAGAGACAGAGAGAGAGAAACAATGTGAGAGAAGAGACACATTGATTGGTTGCCTCCTGCACACCCCGACCAGGGCCAGGAGTCGAGATTACAACAGAGGTACATACCCTTGACTGGAATCGAACTCATGACCCTTCAGTCCGCAGGCCGATGCTCTATCCACTGAGCCAAATGGGCTAGGGCTCATTGGTTTTTAAGATGAGAGAAATAGCATGGCTATATGCAGATGGGAATAATCTAGTAGAGAAGAAAAACTTGATGATTCAGGAAAAGGATGAGAGTCATGCTGGAGGACTGTCCTTTGAGCAGATAAAAGGGCCTGGTGCCTAATTCACCAGTGGAGGGGTTAGCCTTAGTGCAAGCCTAGAAGCAATCAACTTATAGTCCAGGCTAGAAGGCAGGATATCTGGGCAGAGATATTGGTGGGTAATTGTGGTAGCAGGAGTGTGTGGAACTTCTTTGAAATTGAAGCTCTAAATACAGATCTTCAAATAGCAGGCACCTTCTCATTATTTAGGAGTCAACTCAAATGTCACCTTATATGAAGGAGCCCCTCATACCTCATCATTTTCTTCATAGTTTTGATCTCACATGGAAATAATCTTCTTTATTTAAATCTTTTTGTTGTTTTTCAGTACTGTGCTGAAACCTCCACAAGAGCTACAGTTGTGCCAATCTTGCTCAATTCTGTGCCTGGCACATGGCAGGTGCTCCATAGACCTTTATAAAATAACTAGAAGCCCGATGCACGAAGATTCGTGCAAGAATAGGCTTTTCTTCTGTGCTGGCGCTCCCAGGGAGGTGTGGAGGGGAAGAGCTCCCGAGGTAGGCAGGAAGGACTGGAGAGGTTGGGTGCACTAGTGGCTAGTGCATTTCACTTTCCCATTGTGAAAGTGGGATGCAACTGGCCCCCTTCCACATCCTCTTCCTCCTCCACCCTCCACCTCCTGCCCGCTGGCCCACCTCCATGCCCATCACCCCTCCCCTCTTTATTTGACGAGATAGGGAGGAGGGAGATCTGATAATTTGGGTTACTGTGTAGGTGGCCTCTTTCATCTATTCAAAACAAAGCTGAGCTGCTTGCCACTGCCGCCATGGCTGCCACCATCGCCCCTTGGCTGGCCTGGGGCTCCCAGGGTGCACTAACTGTGCACCGAGCAAGCTCCCGCACACGTCAGTGCCTGTGGGGCTGCTCCAACACTAGGGTTTTGTTTACCAGAGCAGTGGGGCAGGGGTGGGGTAGAGGGAGATGGCAGACACTGGGAGCTATGACCTCAGGCACCAGGGGGTTGCCTCTGAGGCCAGGAGGCTGCAAGGACGGTTGACAGGTGTGGAGTGTGGCAGAGAGGCCCTGAGGAGGTGCACTGCCCAGAGGCCCGGTGGGCCACCACCATCTTTGCTGGGTTAATTTGCATACTCACTCCTGATTGGCTGTGGGTGTTGCAACGTGATGGTCAATTTACATATTTCTCTTTTATTAGCTAAGACTAGAAGCCTGGTGCACGAAATCCATGCATGGGGGAAGGGGGTGTCCCTCAGCCCAGCCTGCACCCTCTCCAATCTGGGATCCCTCTCATAATCCGGGACTGCTGGCTCCTAACAACTGGCCTGACTGCCTGCCTGCCTGATTGCCCCCTAACCGCTCCCCTGCCAGCATGATTGACACTTAACTGCTCTCCTGCAGGCCTGATTGCCCCCAACTGCCCTCCCCTGCAGGCCATCTTCTGACAATGTGGGGCAGCCATCTTGTGACAACATGGGGATGGCCATCTTGTGATGATGTGGGGCAGCCATCTTGTGATGGTGTGGGGGTGGCCATCTTGTGGTGGCCATTTTTTCATGATGTGGGGTGGCCATCTTGTGACGACATGGGGGTGGCCATCTTGCGATGTTAGGGCATGAGGGTCAATTTGCATATTACCTCTTTATTATATAGTATTGATTGAATGAATGAGAGGAGTAGCCTGAGGGCTTTATTGCTGCCATGAGTTGAGAAAACAATGATGTACTTCACTAAAATTAAATAAAAAGATTTGCCTAAACTGAGGTTGGAGGCCATAATGTACATGTCATAGTTCCCGTTGCAAGGCATGTAGTGTTGTTTTTTTTTTATCTGATAATGTACAGCAGCCTAGAGGCAGGATTCATTAAAAATTGGGGGTGGGTGCACAGGGCAACCCTAGTGAGGCCCAAAGATTGAGGAAGTTGTACTGCTAAGGGCAAGGCTGAAAAATGTGCCCTAGATGGGAAGGAAGTGAGACAAGGAGTGGTGATGAACTAAGAGGAGCAAGGCATCCACTTCCACATGGCACAATGAGATGGGATATCCGGTGTGGTGTAACAAATTTTATACTTCAAGGGTAGAATTGGAGATCATAGGACTTTGTTTTCCGAGCCAAAATCGGTCTTCTTATAGCTTCCTCTTTTGTTCCTATCCTGTCATCTGGAACCACCTAGACATCAGTTCATTTCCTCAGAAATCCTTGTACCCGGAGTCAAGAGTTTTTGTTCCCTCCCATAGAGTCTTCTTTTCTGCAACACAACCCCCTCTGCCACTTCTTCTAATGCTCAGATCCCCTTCATTCTCTAGTTCACGAGAGGCCCTTTATGAGCCACTTAGAATGATCTGAGTTGAAAGTTGAACAATGACTTTGATATTTTAATATTTAAAATTTTTCCTAGTTTCCTTTTATAGTATGGTATAGTGTATGATAGGTATGAAGTTGTGGTGATGTATACTGTGGTTATGTATACTAGTAATAAAGACTGCTTGATAAAGACATCCAAGAAAAGAAAATTTCAGTCCCATATCTCTCATGAATGTGGATGCAAGAACCCTCAACAAAATACTAGAAATCGACTCCTGCAATGCATAAGAAGAATTATATACCATGGCCAACTGAGATTTATTCCAGGAATGAAAAGTTGGTTTATATGTATATACTTGCAGTGAACATCCTGAAAATGAGCATTTAAAATTCCATTCACAATAACATAAAAAAGAATTTATTTAGGATTAAATATAACAAAAGAAGAGCAAACTTACACTTCTAAAACTGCAAAATATTGTTGAAAGAAATTAAGGAAGATCTAAATAAATGGAATAACATTCCATGTTTTTGGATCTTAATATTGTTAAGATGTCAATTCTCTCTTAATTGATCTACACAGATTCAAGAAAATTTTTATAAGAATCTAAGCTGAGCCCGGCTGGCATGGCTCAGTGGTTGAGTGTCAACCTATGAACCAGGAGGTTATAGTTCGATTCCCTGTCAGGGCACATGCCTGGGTTGCGGGTTTGATCCCCAGTGTGGGGCGTGCAGAAGGCAGCCAATTGATGATTCTCTCTCATCATTGATGTTTCTATCTTTCTCTCCTTTTTTCTTCCTCTCTGAAATCAATAAAAAATTTTTTTAAAAAAGAATCTAAGCTGACTTTTTGTATAAATTGAAATGATGATTCTAAAGTTCATATGGATTTCCAAAGATGCTGAATAGATAAAACAATTTTATAAAAGAAGAACAAAGTTGGATTTCAAAACTTATTGTAAGGCAACAGTAATTAAGACAGTGTTGCCCTGGCCGGTTTGGCTCAGTGGATAGAACGTCGGCCTGCCGACTCAAGGGTCCCGGGTTCGATTCCGGTCAAGGGCATGTACCTTGGTTGCGGGCACATCCCCAGTGGGAGTGTGCAGGAGGCAGCTGATCGATGTTTCTCTCTCATCGATGTTTCTGACTCTCTATCCCTCTCCCTTCCTCTCTGTAAAAAATCAATAAAATATATTTTTAAAAAAAAAGACAGTGTTGGCATACCATCCTTGGGGCACACCCAGTTGAATCTCCTTTTTGAGTGAATTTTCTTTCTCCTAAACTTTAAAGTCCCCACAAGACTTGCAACTAGGGGAACCATGGGCAGTGGCAGCTCATCCCATGCTAACCCCCTGAACCTGTCGCCAAAGCCTCCTTTTCTCTGACTTTTCAGTGAGCTGACAGCAGCCTCACCTTGGCTCACTTCTTCCCCATAATGTTTCTAGAGAGCCAAAGCAGACCTTTCTAGTCTCTCTCTTGTTACTTTTCTATCCTGGGTCCTTCCTTGTTTCATGGTCCCCAGATTTAATAAACGTACTCTCTCCAAAACACACACACACACACACACACACACACACACACACACACACACACACAGACAATGTTGTACTGGAATAAGAACAGAAACCAGCAGAAGAGAAGTGGAGTCCAGAAATAAACCCATGTTTCTATGGGCAGCTGTTTGTTTGTTTTTTAAACTCACCCGAGGATATTTTTCCATTGATTTTTAGAGTGGAAGAGAGAGGGAAAGACAGAGAAACATTGATGTTCGAGAAATACATCAATAGGTTGCCTCTTGCACGAGCCTGACCAGGGCCTCGGCTTAGGAGGAGCCTGCAACCACAGTATGTGCCCTTGACCGGAATCGAACCCGGTTCGCAGGCTGACATTCTATTCACTGACCCAAACCAGCTAGGGCTGGACAGCTGATTTAGACCAGGATGTCAAGAACATTCAGTGTGGAGAGGCTATCTTTTTAACAAATGGCACTGGGACACCTGGATATCCAGACACAGATGAATGAAGTTGGACCCTTACCTCAGACCATAATAAAAATTAACTCAAAATGGACCAAATAACTAAATATAAGACCTAAAACTGTAAAGCTTTTAGAAGAAAACACAGAAATTAATCTTCATGACCTCTGACCTGCAATGAATTCTTAGATATGACACCAAAATCAAGAGTAACAAAAGAAAAAAAATTGTAGACTGAATTTCATCAAAATTAAAAACTTGTTTATCAAAATACATTATCAAAATGATGAAAAGACAACCTACAAAACTGGGAGAAAGTATTTGAAAATGATATACCTGATCAGGTCTAGTATCCATAATATATGTAGAGCTCCTACAACTCAGCAACAAAAAAGCCAACAATCCAAATAAAAAATGGGGAAAAGACTTGAATGAGCATTTTTCCAAAGAAGACATACAAAAGCCTGACAAGCACATGAAAACATGCTCAACATCATTATTCATTTGTGAAATGCTAAAAGACAAACAACAATTAAAAACTGAGCAAAAAACTTGAGTAGATATTTCTATGAAGAAGCTATACAAATGGACAACAAGCATGTGAAAGAGGCTCAAAATCATTGGCCATTAAGGAAACACAAATAAAAAAACCTCAAGGACGTACCACTTCACACCTACAGTCTGACTCTAATAAAAATAACAATAACTGTTGGCAAGGATGTGGAAAAATAAGAACCCTTATACATGGCTTGTGGGAATGCAAAATGGTGCAGCCACTGGGGAAACAGTTTGGTGGTTCATCAAAAGTTAAATATATAACTACTATGTGACCCATCAATTCCATTCCTTAATATGAAAGACATATGTTCACATAGAGCAGGGGTGGTGAATCTTTTTTTTGCCAAGAGCCATTTGGATATTTAACACATTATTCATGGACCATACAAAATTATCAACTTAAACATTAGCCTGCTATATTATATTTGGTCAAACATTTAATTAACTCACTCCTAATGCCTTAGGCCAGATGATTTCTCTGGCCTTATATGGCCCGAAGAGCCAGACATTCCCCACCCCTGACATAGAAAAATGAAAATAAGAAAAATAAAAATAGCCCTGGCCAGGTGGCTCAGTTGGTTGAAGCGTCATCCCCTACACCAAAAGGTTGCGGGTTTGATTCCAGGTCAGAGCACATACCTAGGCTGGGGTCGATCCCTTCCTTTCTTTCTCTCTCTTAACAATAAAAAAAAGAGAGAGAAACTTAAGTTCACATAGAAACTTACATTTGTAACAGCATTATTCGTAATAACTAAAAGGTGGAAGAAACCCAAATGTCCATCAATGGATGATGGATAAACAAATTGTGGTATATACACACAATGGGATATTATTCAGCCAAAAGGGGCGTATGCTGATTTATGCCATAACTTTCACAGACCTCAAAAATTAGTGCTAAGTGAAAGAAGCCAGATGCTAAAAGTCACATATTGTACAATTTCTTTCAGATAGTATACCCAGAATAGGCAAATCTATAGCGACAGAAAGCTGATACTTGGAAATGGAGACAGGGAAATGGGAAGTGATTACTTAATGAATATGACACATTTTTGGAGGGTGATGGAAAAGTTTTGAAACTAGAGAGAAGTGATGGTTGCACAACATTGTGAATACACTAAGTGTCAATGAACTATACACTTTAAAATGGTTACTTGTATGTATTGTGAATTTCATCTCAATAAAAAAAAATCCAGCCCAGGCCAGTGTGTTCAGTGGTTAGATCCTCAGTCCACACACTGAGGGGTTGCAGGTTCAATTCTCTGTCAAGGGCACGTTACGTGGGTTGCAGATTCTTTCTGGCCCCTGTAGGGGCACCTGCTGGAGGCAACCAATCAATGTGTCTCTCTCACATCGATGCTTCTCTCTCTCTTCCTCTCCCTTCTTCTCTCTCTAAAATCAATTTTAAAAAAAGAAAAGAAAAAGTTAAATATAGAATTACCAAATGACTTTGCAGTTTCACTCCTAGGTATGAAAACATATGTCCACACAAAAAATTGTATGCAAAGCTCATAGCAAAATCTATATATATAAAAGCCTAATATGCAAATTCTCCCCTCAGGAGTTCGACCAGGAGACCAGAAGTTCAATCACTTGCTATGACATGCGCTGACTACCAGGGGGCAGGGCGGAATGGAGGGAGGTCCCGCCTGGCAGCCGGAAAGCTCCTATCGGCCCTGATAGCCAGCCAGGCCTAGGGATCCTACCCATGCATGAATTTCATGCACCGGGCCTCTAGCTGGAGTCAACCCAAATGTTCACCAATAGATGAATAAATAAAATGTTGTATGTCCATTTCTATATAATAAAGAATTTAGCCATTTATTCATGGTGGTTCCTGATAGCCTATGAGTCTCTGCCTTTGGCTTCTTCAGATTTATATCTACAAATAAATGTTTTACTTTACTATAATAAAATTGTAGGTATAGGGACAATCCTGAGTTCTGTGAGTTGTTCTAGAGAATTATTGATCTGGAGGGAGTAGTGAAAACCTCTCTACTCAGATGTGTGGATGGCCTGGGGCCCCTCAAGCATACAGCTGGTGCTTGACATAAGAGCAGTCTTGCCGAGGGCCGTGCCCTTAACCTGTGAAGTTTAGTGCAACTCCACATAGTTGTTGTGAGGAGAAGTGGAATTTGCTAGAACAACTCTGACTCACTGAAATATTTGGTTTGGGAAGAGAAGGGATAAAAGGGTGGGGAATAAGGAACCTTGATTCCTGCGTGTCCACAGGTAATCCATGGTATAGAACAGCAGCCTGAGCCCACACAGGTTGTTAATTTCCAACAGTATGAAATGGAAGCTAGAGTGCCAGTAGGGACAAATTCTCTATACAATAGCCCCGTGTGGAGTATACACTGGAACTTAAAGCAAAAGCCCGTGAATGCCTCTCAATGATGATTGCTGGGACATTGGACCAAAGAATTTCCATTTGAGGAAATATTACTAGCTTGCAATCACATTAACTGAAACTGCTCCTATACCTAAACAGTAAATAATCTTAAACATGAAATACCCATGATATCCTCATACCATGACCTTTTCTAATGGGTAGAACAGTGGCCATTAGGACAGTGCCCAGAAGAGTTCCATAATAAGATGCAAATTGTTTGTGCAGGAACATGCTATTGGGAGAATGTAAAGAAATATCAGATTCCTCAGCAGGTATACCTTTTCTCCTAGGATTGACTTTGGAACCACCTGAGGAGCTACCAGATTCTTATCACCACCTGGACAGTCTCCTATGAGCTGCTCTCTATTGACCAGCAAAGAGCTGCTTGGTTTATAATAGCAGTTTCAAAGTGAACGTATGTTTGTAAGGCCAGCACTCTGGTTGAAGAAGGTAAAAAATCAGCTCAATAGGCTGAAATGCAGGCTGTTTGTCCCTTTGTTTGGGTTTTTTCTGACTCATGAAAAATAGTGTCATAAGTCAGTAAGAAATGGCCTGCTCATATGGTTAGGTAGAAGGGCAATGGAAAACTGGCCTACTAAAGGGATGCCCATATGGAGCATAACTCTATGGAAACCCCTATGGACATTTGAAGGATGCATTAAAGTAAAACATGTCAATGTCTAACAGAAGAACAGTCTTCCAGGATTGGAAGGTTGTTGGAACCAGTGAGTGGATTTCCTAGTATCTCCCTTGAGGTGGTCACCTGGGTCCATGAAATGGGTGGACATGGGGCTGCTGCAGTAATGCAGAGATGGGCTGAACAAAGCACAAAATGCCAACAAGAACTGTTCTGTCTGCCAACGAGAGAGAGAGAGAGAGAGAGAGAGAGAGAGAGAGAGAGAGAGAGACTAAAGTGGCCCAGTGGTTGAGCATCGGCATCGACCTATGAACCAGGAGGTCATGATTCAATTCTCAGTCAGAGTACAGGCCCGGGTTGTGAGCTCAGTCCCCAGCAGGGGATGTGTAGGAGGCAGCTGATCAATGACTCTTTCTCATCATTTATGTTTCTATCTCTCTACCTCTCCCTTCCTCTCTGAAATCAATAAAAAATATATTTTAAAAAAAGTAAAATGGCTTTGGGGTAGATTCCCTAGGGGGAAGGCCGTACACATAATTGGCAAATAGATTACATTGACCCAAAGCCAGTAGCCCTGGGGGCTATAAGTGGATCCTGACAGGAACTGGGATTTTCATACCTAGTTGTAGTTGCAAATGTTTAAAATACTATTAGATGATTGGAGCAAAAATTACTGTATCAGTTGGGAACATCAAGTTATCCTTCTTCAGACCAAGAACCTCACTTTATAGCTCATAGTGTCCAGCAGTGAGCCAAGAGATACCACATCAAATGGACATATTATGTTGTATATCATCCTCAGAGTAATGGTTTAATAGAGAATTGGAATGAGCAATTAAACATTTGTTGTTTAAAATGTGGGGGAGGAGAGGCGATAAAGTCAGAAAGGGCTTACATACGTGCTCACACTCAACATGAGAGTCCCCACTGGATAGATTTATCCACTTTTGGGGGGATCTGGGGAATAGAGGGTGAGGG